AGACTTTTAGACATATTTTAGACTATTTTAGACATATATCGGCTCCTGAAGAAGTGGACTTTGTCCAGGAAACAAATCAAGTCGTTATGTTATATATTTTCTTGAATTTGATGTACTATATTGATAAGATTGTTTTACTGTAATGAGATGTTACAACATTTTACAGTGGGGATCGAAAGTTTGGGCACCCCAGCTAAAAATTTGTATTAATGTGCATAAAGAAGCCAAGGAAAGATGGAAAAATCTCCAAAAGGCATCAAATTACAGATTAGACATTCTTATAATATGTCAACAAAAGTTAGATTTTATTTCCATCATTTACACTTTCAAAATATCAGAAAACAAAAAAATGGCGTCTGCAAAAGTTTGGGCACCCTGCAGAATTTATAGCATGCACTGTCCCCTTTGCCAAGCTGAGACCTGCCAGTGTCATGGATTGTTCTCAGTAGAGATGAGCGAATCGAACTTGGCGAAGTGGAATTCGTTTCGAATATTAGGAAAAATTCGATTTGCACCGAATCCGAAAATTAGCAAACTTCGGATGCACGAATCAAATTTTTCCCGATCGGCCGATTTTCATCCCTTCTACAGCCGGCAAAAAGTGTCCCTGCAGAGAGCTCCGCTATTTCTGACAGTTCCTTCACATTTACAGCGGTTGAAACATTGTATCTATTTTGTTTCCATTTAGGATACAGATGTTTTTATTCGGAAACAAATAGATACAATGTTTCAACCGCTGTAAATGTGAAGGAACTGTCAGAGAAATGTCAGACATAGCGGAGCTCTCTGCAGATACACTTTTTGCTGTAGTGGAATTCTTCTTATTTTCATCCTACTTCTTCTTCTTCTTCATCCTCATCCTCTTCTTCTTCTTCTTCATCCTCATCCTCTTCTTCTTCTTCTTCTTTCTTCTTCATCCTCATCCTCTTCTTCTTCTTCATCATCCTCATCCTCTTCTTCATCCTCATTCTCTTCTTCTTCTTCTTCATCCTCATCTTCTTCTTCATCCTCATCTTCTTCTTCTTCTTCATCCTCATCTTCTTCTTCTTCTTCTTCTTCATCCTCATCTTCTTCTTCTTCTTCTTCTTCATCATCATCTTCTTCTTCTTCTTCTTCCTCATCCTCTCTTCTTCTTCTTCCTCATCTTCTTCTTCTTTCTTCATCTTCTTCATCTTCTTCTTCTTCTTCATCTTCTTCTTCTTCTCATCATCTTCTTCTTCTTCATCATCTTCATCTTCTTCATCATCTTCTTCTTCATCTTCTTCTTCTCCTTCATCCTCATCTTCTTCTTCTTCTTCATCCTCATCCTCTTCTTCTTCTTCCTCATCCTCTTCTTCTTCATCTTCTTCTTCTTCTCATCTTCTTCTTCCTTCTTCTTCTTCTTCTTCATCATCCTCATCTTCTTCTTCTTCTTCTTCATCACCTCATCTTCATCTTCTTCTTCTTCATCATCATCTTCTTCTTCATCATCTTCTTCATCATCATCTGCTTTTATCATCTTCTTCTTCATCTTCATCTTCTTCATCCTCATCTTCTTCTTCTCATCCTCATCCTCTCTTCTTCTTCTTCCTCATTCTTCTTCTTCTTCTTCATCTTCTTCTTCTTCTTCATCTCTTCTTCATCATCTTCTTCTTCTTCATCTTCTTCTTCTTCATCCTCATCTTCTTCTTCTTCATCATCCTCATCTTCTTCTTCTTCTTCTTCTTCATCCTCTTCTTCCTCATCCTCATCTCCTCATCTTCTTCTCATCTTCTTCTCTTCTTCTTCATCTTTCTTCTTCTTCTTCTTCTTCTTCATCATCTTCTTCTTCATCATCTTCTTCTTCATCATCTTCTTCTTTCATTCTTCTTCTTCATCTCTCATTCTTCTTCTTCTCATCCTCTCTCTTCTTCTTCTCATCTTTCTTCTTCTTCCTCATCTTCTTCTTCCTCATCTTCTCTTCCTCTTCTTCTTCTTCTTCTTCTCTCTTCTTCTTCTTCATCTTCTTCTTCTTCATCATCTTCTTCTTCATCATCTTCTTCTTCTCATCTTCTTCTTCATCATCATCTTCTTCATCATCTTCTTCTTCATCTTCTTCTTCTTCTTCATCTTCTTCTTCATCTTCTTCTTCTTCTTCTTCATCTTCTTCTTCATCTTCTTCTTCTTCTCTTCTTCTTTCTTCATCTTCTTCTTCTTCTTCTTCTTCATCATCTTCTTCTTCATCTTCTTCGTCGTGCCCCGTGACTGCCCAAATGAGCGAAGTGTGCGGTGATTCTAAGATCGACGGCACTCATCTGCATGTCATACTGACTGACAGTATTATTTCTCTTCCCCAGCAGACTCCAAGGGCATTTAAATTAAAGGTACAGTGTTCTGCACTAATATAAAGGCTCTCTGAAGCCTAGAAACCCTTTTAATAAGTTACATTCGCAGCGAATAAATTCGCATCGAATCGAATTTATTCCGCAAATTCGGCGAATCACCCGAATCGAATTTTTGAATAATTCGCTCATCTCTAGTTCTCAGTCATCGTCTGGGAAGACCAGGTGATGTGTCAAGCTCAAAGGTTTTAAATGCCCAGACTCATCTGACCTTGCCCCAACAATCAGCACCATGGGTTCTTCTAAGCAGTTGTCTAGAAAACTGAAACTGAAAATAGTTGACGCTCACAAAGCTGGAGAAGGCTATAAGAAGATAGCAAAGTGTTTCCAGATGTCAATATCCTCTGTTCGGAATGTAATTAAGAAATGGCAGTCATCAGGAACAGTGGAAGTTAAAGCAAGATCTGGAAGACCAAGAAAAATATCAGACAGAACAGCTCGCAGGATTGTGAGAAAAACAATTCAAAACCCACGTTTGACTGCACGATCCCTCCAGAAAGATCTGGCAGACACTGGAGTTGTGGTACACTATTCCACTATAAAGAGATACTTGTACAAATATGGTATTTATGGAAGAGTCATCAGAAGAAAACCTCTTCTACGTCCTCACCACAAAAATCATCGTTTGAACTTTGCAAATGAACATATAGACAAGCCTGATGCATTTTGGAAACAAGTTCCGTGGACCGATGAAGTTAAAATTGAACTTTTTGGCCGGAATGAGCAAAGGTACGTTTGGAGAAGAAGGGGCACAAAATTTAATGAAAAGAACCTCTGTCCAACTGTTAAGCATGGGGTTGGATCAATCATGCTTTGGGGGTTGTGTTGCAGCCAGTGGCACAGAGAACATCTCACGAGTAGAAGGAAAAATGGATTCAATAAAATTTCAGCAAATTTTGGATGGTAACTTGATGCCATCTGTGAAAAAGCTGAAGTTAAAGAGAGGATGGCTTCTACAAATGGATAATGATCCTAAACACACCTCGAAATCCACGGGGGATTACATCAAGAGGCGTAAACTGAAGGTTTTGCCATGGCCTTCACAATCTCCTGACCTCAACATAATTGAAAATCTATGGATAGACCTTAAAAGAGCAGTGCGTGACAGACAACCCAGAAATCTCAAAGAACTGGAAGACTTTTGTAAGGAAGAATGGGCAAAGATACCTCAAACAAGAATTGAAAGACTCTTGGCTGGCTACAAAAAGCGTTTACAAGCTGTGATACTTGCCAAAGGGGGCAGTGCATGCTATAAATTCTGCAGGGTGCCCAAACTTTTGCAGACGCCATTTTTTTGTTTTCTGTTATTTTGAAAGTGTAAATGATGGAAATAAAATCTAACTTTTGTTGACATATTATAAGAATGTCTAATCTGTAATTTGATGGCTTTTGGAGATTTTTCCATCTTTCCTTGGCTTCTTTATGCACATTAATACAAAATTTTAGCTGGGGTGCCCAAACTTTCGATCCCTACTGTATATACAATGGTGATGTATTTTTGTAAAAAAAAAAATATTTTATCAACATGGATTAAATGATAAAAAAATAAAATGTAATGAATAATGGTGTGCCTCATAATAACCCCCAACATTTGTGTCAGTGGATGTAATAATAACTCCCAACATTGGTGTCAGTGGATGTAATAATAACCCCCAACATTTGTGTCAGTGGACGCAATAATAACTCCCAGCATGGATGTCAATGAACGGATTAATAATGCCCATCACTGGTGTCAGTGGACGCAGAAATAACCCCCAATATTGGTGTCAGTGGATGCAATAAAAACCCCTCATCATTGGGGTAAGTGGATGCCAAAATAACCCCCATCACTGATGTCAGTGAATGCAATAAAACCCTTATCATTGGTGTCAGTGGACGCAATAATAACCCCCAACGTTGGTGTCAGTGGACGTAATAAAAAAACCCATCATTGGTGTCAGTGGACACAAATCCCTCATCATTGGTGTCAGTGGACACAAAATCCCTCATCATTGGTGTCAGTGGACACAAAATCCCTCATCATTGGTGACAGTGGACACAAAATCCCTCATCATTGGTGTCAGTGGATGTAATAAATAACCCTCATTGGTGTCAAAACTAATCATTAGCGGCTACTTCACACCCACCTTGCGCCCAGTGCTGACATTACGCCGGGATTCTGCCAATACACATCCCATATGGATAGTGTACACACTGACTGACTGACATACACAGAGAGGATATTGCTTGCGAGCTGTGATTGGTTAGCAGGCACGAGAGGCGGAACCTTGCTGTGGACGCGGGCTCTGATTGGACAGACATTGTGCCTGCCCCGTCCATCAGAGGACTGGACACCCACTGGCGGTCTGGCAGCCAATGGCGGGGATATTCCTCTGCATACACTCACATACACATTAGGAGAATCCCCGCCCACAAGTCAGTTCTCATCCATACAGAAGTGTGTTCCTCTGTGACAATCCTAAACTTAAAGGGTGTGGTTTTAACTTCGTGGCTGTGACTTCCGTCCTATCACTAGTCGGGGGTGTGTTTATTGAACCAATGAGCTGCCGCCCCGGGCTTGTTTGGATTTAAATGTCCTATATCTAGCTGTGGCAGGGTTCCGGTGTCCTCAGTTGCTGCGACTCTCCGGCTCTGTCCGCTATGGCGAATCTGTCGCAGTGTCTGGATGACATCACTCCTCTGGGCTCCCGCTGGCCCGCCGCTCCCCCCGATCTGTACAGCGAGGCCCAGCGGCTGGCCCTGGAGGAGTTGGTGTCCGGGGGACCGGAGGCTCTGCGGGGATTTCTGCACCGGGAGCGGGTGCCGGGCTTCCTGTCCGAGCCGGAGGTCGGGGAGATCCTGGACGTGGCCTCCAGCCTGCAGTGTGGGGAGGAGGAGGTCTCCGTGTCCGCCTCGGTGGACTGCTCTTCGGTCACCTACTTCCCCGAGATCTCCGATGTGGAGCCCCCGCTGCTGGAGCTCGGCTGGCCGGCCTTCAGTGCGGGATCGTATCGGGGGGCCACCCGGGTGGAGGTCCATTTCCAGCCCGGATTCGGGGAGACCATCTACAGCTGCAAGGAGGCGGTCCGGGCTCTGATCAAGGGCGCCCGGGAGGTGGGTATACTGGGGGGGGACCATACACTGTACGATCAGGTCTAACAAGAACTATATAGCACTAGGGCCTGCCTGATTGGATACTATTCATTTTTAAAGGATTATACAATCAGATTGTATAGTGTGTGGCCAGCCATAGGATGATCAATGATGAGCATCAATATTAATCGATAAGACAAGCGGGGTGAAGAATTGTCAGGTCATGGGTCTATGACTCCTATTATGCTCACCACACATTACCATCTGTATAGGCAAGCAATTGCAACTGTATAGGGAATCGATTCCACAAATTCCAATATTTCATCATTCAAAAAAATCAATTGTTCCTTTTTTGTATCGATAATTAGTGAGCTCCTTCACTTGGCTGTCAGTGAGGACAGAGCAGGCGATCACTTGTCCTCATTGGTTGATGTCTTTATGTTGGCCATATACAATACGAGCCATGTCTAATTTGTGCTGGTGGGGTTTTTTTTTTTTTTTTTTTTTTTTTTTTAAACCAGGGGTCTCCACTTTCAAAGTTTGATCAATGGCCAGTTTACTCTCCTTCAGACTTTAGGGGGGCCGGACTGTGGCCAGGGGGAGTAAAAAGTGCCCTGACATTAGTGGGCATAAGCAATACACCATCATTGGTTTGAATGGAAGGACTAATGCTCCATTGTTGCTATCAATGGGAAGAATAGTTCCCCACCGATGGGGTCAGTTGGTGGAATAGTACCCAAAGGGCCAGGTAAAGGCAAGCCAAGGGCCATATCTGGCCCCAGGGCCACAGTTTGGAGACCACTGGTTTAAACCTCGAGCACACAAGACAAAATTAAAGAGCCTGTGATAGTGCTGGGTTTTGACAGTGCCAAGGTTTGTTTTTTTTTTTTTTTTTGTTTTTTTTTGTTGAGGCCAAAAAAAAAAAATTGCTCATACAGGTTTGTTTAGGATCAATCTACATGTGGGGGGAAAAGTAATTGTCCCATGGAGCACAGGAAGCTGCCATTGAATTATTATATTCTATTATTTTTTTTATTTTATATTAGAATTGTTTTCAACTTTGTAAATATAATGTTCTAATTTAATCTAAAGATTATATTTCTAATCTAAAAATGTAAATTTATATATATTGCACACACTGTTGGGATGCCTGCCTTTACACGCACATGAACATTAATGGCATCCCAGTCTTAGTCCGTAGGGTTCAATATTGAGTTGGCCCCGCCCTTTGCAGCTATAACAGCTTCAACTCTTCTGGGAAGGCTGTCCACAAGGTGTAGGAATGTGTCTATGGGAAGGTTTGACCATTCTTCCAGAAGTGCATTTGTGAGGTCAGGCACTGATGTCGGAAGAGAAGGCCTGGCTTGCAGTCTCCGCTCTAATTCATCCCAAAGGTGTTCTATCGGGTTGAGGTCAGGACTCTGTGCAGGACAATTAAGTTCCTCCACCCCAAACTCGTTTATCCATGTCTTTATGGACCTTGCACTGGTGTGCAGTCATTTTCTATCAGGAAGGGGCCATCCACAAACTGTCCCACAAGCATGAAATTGTCCAAAATGTCTTGGTATGCTGATGCCTTAAGAGTTCTCTTCACTGGAACTAAGGGGCCAATCCCAGCCCCTGAAAAACAACCCCACACCATAATTCCCCCCCCCCCCCCCCCAAAAAAAAAGTTAAACTTGGCACAATGCAGTCAGGCATGTACCATTCTGGTAACCTCCAAACACAGACACTTCCATAGGATTGTCAGACAGAGAAGTGTGATTCGTCACTCCAGAGAACATGTCTCCACTGCTCTAGAGTCCAGTGGCGGCCTGCTTTACACCACTTCATCCGACGCTTTGCATTGCACATGGTGTTGTAAGGCTTGGATGCAGCTGCTCAGTTATGGAAACCCATTCCATGAAGCTCTCTATGCACTGTTGTGCTAATCTGAAGGCCACATGAAGTTTGGAGGTCTTTAGCTATTGACTCTGCAGACAGTTGGCAACTTCTGTGCACTTCAGCATGCACTGACCCCGCTCTGTCATTTTACGTGGCCTACCACTTTGTGGCTGAGTTGCTGTTGTTCCCAGTTGCTTCCACTTTGTTATAATACCACTAACAGTTGACCGTGGAATATTTAGTAGCAAGAAAATCTCAGATGGACTTATTGCACAGGTGACAACCTATCACGGTACCATGCTGAGAGCGACCCATTCTTTCACAAATGTTTGTAGAAGCAGTCTGCATGCCTAGGTGCTTGACTGTATACACCTGTGGCCATGGAGGTGATTGAAACCCCTGAATCCAATGATTTGGAGGGGTATCCCAATACTTTTGGCAACATAGGGGGAGGGGTGTATGTATGACTTTTGAAGGAACTATTGCGTCTGAGCAATTTCTGCATTGCTTTTTTTTGTCTTTGCACTTGAATTTTGTCCCTGACTCCAAAAAACGCACCAAGTGAAAACTCACAATGTGAACATGTCCCATAGGAAGTCATGTTAAACAGACTGTACTGCGCTTCTATGAAATGCTTGGGTGTGAGCCTAGGGTTCTAGCTTGTCTTACATTCAGGATAACTGAATATTTTGTCTTGATAGACATGCAGGTTTCCTGGAAGCTGGGCTGCAATGTAGGCAGAAGAGGCGACTGTCTTGGATGCTGTGGGTAGGCAAAAACAGGACATACAAAATGTTTCTGAAGTAGTTACAGCTCATTGGGAGATGGGGGTGAGCACTGCACCCTACTGCCGTAACCTTTTCTACTTTGTGCTTTGACGCCTTGGGTTCTAGAGTGTCTTGTCCTATCACTGCCTGGAATCCTCCTGGGCTCATTCATACATACAGCATCCCTTGACACCTCTCTGAAAAATGATCTACAGTGTTGCTTTTTAGAGGCAATTGACAGGGAGTGAGGAGGTAATGTGTCTGGTTTAACCCTGTAAATGCTGCAGTGTACAGCCTTGTGGCTGCAGCATGTGTACAGCGATTTAAATCCCTAGCGAAAAGGCTCAAATTAAATCATCATTTTTAAAGAGCAACTAGCATCTCTGTCCTGCAGCTGCTTCTGACCCGCTGTTGACTCACCGACGGTCCCATTCACGTTAATGGGACAGCTGCCGATGTGGCAGTGACACAAGGTGAGGACGTGGCGGCAGCAGGGCAGTGGATGCCCGCTAACAGGCGCTGCCATGATGGATCTAAAATGACAGGTGCTCTTTAAATATAAGGAATCCAACTCTTTCTTGCTGGTAGTTAGAATCTTTAATATTTGCAAACCAAATGAAGGTTTCTTTTTTAGAATAACAAGCTTTCCGGTTAGTAAAACAGCGATATTCGAACAGATTTTAGGTTAATCAGTTACCGTATTTTTCGCTCCATAAGACGCACCTGACCATAAGATACACCTAGGTTTTAGAGGCAGAAAACGGGAAAAAAAAAAATTCTCAACTAATGGACTGCAAACATAGTACAGGAGATGACCAGAGACTGCGGACACAGTGCAGGGGATGACTGCTGACCTTTGGGGAGGGGGGGCAGGTACCCGCTACCCGCTTTCCACGGAGTTGTTCTTTGATCTTACCTGTTCCTCTATCCAGCCGCGCGCTGTCTTCCCGGCTTCTGTAGTGTGGGCGCTCGGCGGACAGCCAGATGCCCAGTGCACATGAGCGAGAAGCGCTGCGCTTTGTGATTGGTCCGGCAGCTTCTGGGATCTGTCATGTGTCCCAGGTACTGCCTTACCATTCACAAAGAGCACCGCTTCGTGCGCATGCGCACTGGGCATCGGGCTGTCACGCACACTACAGAAACCGGGAAGACAGTGTGCCGCTGGATAGAGGAACAGGTAAGGTCCCACTGCAGAGCTGAGCGGCCGCCCGGTATTTTGACGCGGCGGTGGAAATACCGGACCAGCCGCTCCATAAGACACACTGACATTTTCCCCCCCTTTTTTGGGGGGAAAAAAGTGCGTCTTATGGAGTGAAAAATACGGTAATTGCAAATAGTTGAACTACTCAAATTCTTTCATTTCATGTTTTTTCTCATGGTTACTGTGAAGTTGTGTGAATGCATCAATGCAGTGCATGTTATCTCAACTTGCAGAGCTTGGATTCATTGAATGAGTTTACCAAAAATGTAAATATTGCAGAATATACAGCCTCATGCTACATGACTAAGCTCCATTTCATGCTGAATAAACTAAATTCTTAATGTATCTTAAATAGAAAACTGTCTTTAGAATAGGTTTTTTTTTAATCACATTTATTTTAATAAAAAAGCTTTGTCTAATCCAAATCTGATTTTAAATAAAACTTTTTTTTGTTCACCCTGGTTCATCTTGGGTGTAAAAAAAAAAAAAAAAAATTTTTTTGCTGCTCTAGAGGTGCCTTCCCCCCAACCATGGTTTCTTTTTAGAGGTTGATGGGGTTTCTTGAGCGGTGTCCAATTTTTGCCTTTCAGTTGAGTAATCACTGACAACGGTGATCTGTTTAGCCATCTGTAAGGGGGAATTCTTCTCACAGACCATCACAGCAATGTAGAGTGAGCTGTAGATCTAGTAATGTATTAGAAGGGGGTTCCCAAAGATCTAAAAGTTATTTCCAGGGTTCCTCCATATTAACCTTCGTGTGAGGCTGGTCTAGAAGATGTATCATTACACTTGCCTTATTTTGTCTAGACAAGTTAGGACGGTGAGCTCTGTGACTTGGGTCATTCATCTCCTTCAGCCCAACCCTTACTTCTAGCTGTAACCTAGCAATTGAAGCATTTAAATAAAATAAGTCAACATTGACTCCAGCCACTAAGCCTGTAATTTAACATTTCATTCCATAAGATAAAGGTCTTTGTCAAAGTGATTTTAAACCCTTACATATACCCTGGGAAGTGACTGGCCTCAGGTGATGCACAGAGATGAAACCAATCAAGTCATCAGTTGTACCTGTTTTATCTATACCATCTTTCCTGTACATCCATTCAAAGTGCAGCATTTACACAGGATATCTCGGCTCTGAAAAGCAGGGGGCAGGAAGCTCTTACATG